CGGGCTGTGCGGACGCTCGGAACCGACGTCCCGATGCCGTTTTACTTGGGTCACCGCTCGCTCCGCGCGGCGCGGTAAACACCTGTGGGTGGATTTAAACGCGCGGCCTGGAGAGGGGAAGGGCTCGCAGGGCCCTGAGCATGAGNTTGGCTTTGCAGGCCGAGCGCCCCTGCCCACCCACTGGTCAGGGAAGGAACCCGAGCTCACTGAGACTCGGTCAGAAGTCACAAAAGCCTCTTAAAACAGATGTCAAGCGGGCGGTCCCCATCAATGGATACCTGGGGGGGAGGGGAAAGGGGGGCACTGGGCGCCACACCTAACAATATTCCAAATGCATGTGCTCTGGAGCCCCCAGGACTGAATGGAGAAGCCCTCACCCTGAGTTTCTCAGCACCTGACTAGGCAAGGCCCGGCAGCCAGGTTTGGGCACAGGTGGGCACACTGAGTCCCTCTATGAGCACCTTGTGCCTGGGCCCCATCCACCGTTATTGAGCAAGTCCCTGCCACCTGCCCACACTTGTCCCAGGCCCTGGAAGTAGAGCCTAACCTTCGTGCCACAATAACTTTTTAAAATTTTATTTTAGAGAGAGAAACATCAATGTGAGAGAGAAACGTGAACCAGTTGCCTCCCGACGGGGATTGAACCCAAAACCTGTGCATGTGCCCTGACCAGGAATCAAACCTGCAACCTTTTGGTGTACGAGACAATGCTCCAACCAACTGAGCCACACCAACCAGGCCCAAAGGAATTTTTAAACCATGCAATACCTGACTGTTTAGTCAGGGGCACTGACCTCTTTTCCCCTAGATTGTCAAAAAAAAAAAAAAAAAAAAAGATGAGTCATCCACAGCCGCCTGGTGTGAATGCCCTGTCTTAAACCACAACTACATAGGTCATATAATAGAGTTGCATCTTGTTGGTCGTGTCACATAAGGTTGCATCTGATTGGTTAATTCTTGGTAACAGAACTCCTTCTATACAAGTATAGGCCCCTGATTTTTTTAAGAAATCACTTTGGCTCTGGCGGGTGTGGCTCAGTTGGTTTGAACGTGCTGCCCACTGAAAGGTCTCAGGTTTGGTTCCCCATCAGGGCATATGTCTAGGTTTCGGTTCTCTCCCTGATTGGGGTGCGTGGGAGGGGTGGCTGGTTGGTCTCTCTCTCTCTCTCTCAGCATGTCTTCAGGTAAGGATTAAAAAAAAAGTTAACATTGATACACAACTATGATCTAGTCAACAGGCCCTACTTAGAGTTTGCCAGTCATCCCAACGGTGTCCCTTCTAGCAAACCCCTGACCACACACCGCATGCAGCGGCCATGTCTCCTTAGTCATTCTTTGTATGAAGACGTTGCCATTTTTGAAGTGTCCAGGCCACGTAACTGTGCGGTGTTTCCTCCTGATTAGATCGGAGCGGGGAGGGGAGGCTTTTGTTGACACCCAGGCTGAGTTAGTGTCTGTGTGTCCCTTCTCCCGCACTGGTAACTTTGAATATTTGGTTCCTCCACTGTAAAGTTACTATGTTTACTCTTTGTAATTAACAAGTATCTTGTGGGGAGGTACTTTGAAACTATGTAAACACCCTTCTCAAACTCTTCCTCTCCAGTTTTACTTCCATCCAGTTTGTGTGTGTGTGTGTGTGTGTCAGTTTCCATTAAAATGGTGGCCGAGGCCTGATTTTTCTGATCCCAGCATTCCTCCACCACTTACTGTTTGGCTTTNGATTTTTCTAATCCCAGCATTCCTCCACCACTTACTGTTTGGCTTTCCACTAGGAGTTTTTCTTCTTGCCCACTCATTTATGTAGTCACTTAATCATACCAGTGCGGATTCATGCATCTTACCATTGAAAGTGCACATCCCAATGGTTTTTAGTATGCAAACAATGTTCAGCATTCAGAGTGGTGCAATCACCACCACGATATAACTTGAACATTTTTGTCATATAATATATATATTGTTGGTCGCAAAAGAAGCCCTGTATCCATTAGCAGCCCTGCCCATCCCCCTGCGACCTTGCAGCTGGAGGGAAACCGCGCCTTTACCTTATTTGTGCCAAGTGGCGGCATCCTCAGAGTCTTGTTTTATGAAATAGGCTGTAATCTTCTACGACCATTATTTGGATGCTAACATGGCCCCGGGTCAGGACTCAAGCTGGATCCTCTGTCTTGTTGGTGTTTTCCCATCATTCTCCGAGGACCTGCTCCTTGGGGCACAACAGGGTGTTTCCGGCTCATCTTCGTTTTCCTTGTGCTGCTCTTGGGAACATTCTGCAACGGGCCCTCGAAATGGGCTGAACTGCGTCCTCTC